GGGTGTTGTGTCGGTTATCGTGGTTGTCTTGAGCTGGAGAGCTGAGGAAGTAGCCTTTGCAGTCTTCGGTTTATCGTCGAGGAGCGCCTTGGGCTTGGAGGTATGCGACAGCACGGTTGATGATGTCCGATCTGTATGCGGGGAATGGTGGGAGAGGGCGGTGGTGTTGGTGGTGGTGGAGAAAGATAAGATGATTAAGATCGTCGCATGTGTGAGGTGTGTGGGGAATGTTATATATGTCGAGTGTGAGCGGGGAACTGAGGATGTCGTGGATGATAGCAGTGGAACGGGTCGCTCCCCATGGTTCAAGTGGGAGCCACCAAAACGGGTCGGGCTCGTGGATGCCATGGGGCTGGAGTCGAGGGCGGAGGGGCGGTGGGGCGGATGCGATGAAAGATATGCAGTTGTGATTCATTCACACTAGTAATGCGGGCGGGTAATAGCAGGGGAGCGTATTTTGTCAAAATCGTCATTGATGATTTTGAGCATAAATGTTTTCATGCGGGCAAAGTGGATGTCCGGGTTTGGGTGGGGGTCCGGTCTGCGGAGCATGTGTGTTCGGTTTTGTTTGTAAATGTCGAAGAAGTCGTAGATGTGGGGTGAGAAGGCCGCGTGGTCAGTGGAAAGGAAATCCTCCCAGAGGAGTTGGTCGATGATGTGGGCGATATTGGTGGTGTTGATAAGAGGGATCCATGTGTCAAATGTAGGAATGGGGATTTGTGCAAGGGTGTTATCGTCAAGGTCAAAGTGGAAAGATTGAGGAAGGGTCGGAGTGGAGGAGGTGGCAGGGTTGCAGTTGTTGAGGTTGTTGTGGAAGTGGAGGTTGTGGCAGATGTAGATGGAGTCGTCGATGTTGTGGTTGTTGCAAGGCGGCTGTCGACAGTGGATGGAGTGGAGGAGGTGGCAGGGGTTGTGGTTGTTGAGGTTGTTGTGGAAGCGGAGGTTGTGGCAGATGTAGATGGAGTTGTTGTTGCTGTAGCAGTTATGGTTGTTGTCATTGATGATGTGGTTGTTGCTAGGTGGTTGTCGATAGTGGATGTCGATGGAGGAGTCTTGTTTCTCTTGTGGGGCGAACCTGCATGAGAGTCATAAACGCAATGTTAGAAGCGTGGAGGATGTATTTAGTTGAGGATTTCTTTGTACACAATGTTTGTTATGTGCGGAAGCGGTGAGGGTAAAGCAAAGCGTATGTGTGTAGGATCGCCTACTCTGGATGCGGCGACGTAAAGCGGACCGTGCGCAAATGGTGGTTGATGAAGGTCAATGCCGGCGTGTTTGATAGATTGGCCTTGAGATTTGTTGACAGTGATGGCAAAAGCGGGGCGCACGGGGAATTGTCGTCTTTGCCACGGGAAGGGGGATGTAGCATCAGTGATTGCTAACAGTATACGTGGGAGGAGAATCGGTTGAAGTGACGGCAAGATGCGAGCGTGGAGGAGTCTGTTGTTTGTAACAGAGTCGACCATTAGGCGCGTTCCGTTACACAGGTCGTTTCGCATGGCGATGTTTCGCAAAACGATAACAGGAGCATATTTTTTCATGTGAAGGATGTGGGTTGGTTGTCAAGGGTGTTGAGTCGATCGGGATGTCAGGGAAGTCTTTGTTAGGAAGAAGTGAGTCTGAGATGAGGGATGTGATGACGTCGCCGGGAAAAGAATCAAGGATGATGTTGTTTAATGTCGAAACAATTTTGTTTTGGGGGTCCAAGATGAGGCGTTCGGCAAGCCATTCAGGATTTCGGAAGTTGTTTTGAAGATTAGGAAATGTCAAATTGACGAGTTTTGAAGTACCGCCGTGGAGACACAGGTAGGGTGGCAATGAAATAGTATTGGGAGGTGTGTCGTGAGGGTGGTTGAGTTCGCCGTTGCCGAGTGCAAGGAACCACTGAGCATAGTTTTGTCCAGCAGGAGTGTTGATTTGTGTTAAGACGCACATGTTTTCACAGAGGCGCATGGTTTGGAAGTGTGGCCACAAATCGGATGATTTAATGCAGGCGTTTATTGTTTGAGCACGTGTACCTTTGGTAACGACAGGAAGGATTTGACAAAAGTTACCACCAAGCACAATGATTTTGCTGCCAAATGGTAGTGTGGATGAGCAAATGTCTTGCAAGGTTGGATTTAATGATTCGATGTGGAATTTGTGTGTCATCGGCGCCTCATCCCATAGGATAACAGGGGCCATGCGAATGAGGTCGACGAGTGTAGATTGGTTGGGAATATCTAAGGTGGAAGTAGTGGAAGGGTTGAGTGTGGCTTTGAATCGTGTGTGGAAAGTTCGTCCACCATCCAAAAGGGTAGCTGCGATGCCACTCGAAGCGACGACAAGTGCAACTTGGTCGTGGATGCGAAGATGTGCAAGAATTGTATTGAAACAAAATGTTTTACCTGTGCCAGCAGGTGCATCGACGAATAGGCAAAGCGGTTCATTGTTTTCAGCGGCATGGACGACACGTTGGAAGATAGCATGTTGTGACGAAGTCAAACATGGGAGATTGGTATCGAGAGTGTGCTAGAGTGTTTATTTGTTGTATGAGATTTCATCGTCGATGAGTCGTGGGATGCCTTGGTGTCGCGGTCTTTTGGAAAGGTCATCAACTTGTTCTTTGTCTTCCGGTGGCAGTGGTGTGAGGCCGACGTCGTTCAGTTCTTTGCCTTCTTTTTGCAGACGACTTTCAATGTCAAGAAGAACCATTGCTTTGATAATTGAGGGCGAGACTTGGACATTAGCAAGGTTTCTGTGAAAGTCATCAGTCATTTGTTCCCAATGGGTTTCGAAAAATTCATTGGGGTCGCTAATAGCACAGTGGAGGATTATGTGAAGGAAGAGGTCACGAACCATGGGCGAGGAGGTAAAAATTACATTTTGGAGAACGCCGTTAAATTGTGTATTGTCATTCAGTAGGCCAAGTGCTTTGCATGCAGATTGGTATGTCGGGTGAATTTCTCCTGCGACAGTTCGAAGATGTTCAAAGCTTGTTGCACCACGAGAGTGTGGTGATAGAAGGAGTATGCGGAGGTAGAATGTGTCGTCGGTGTTTGGATGGATAGTGTGTATTCGGCCAATTGTGTTGGTCGCTTGTCGTCGACGAACCCATTGTTTTGTATTTTTGTTGAAGCGGAATCGGCGAATCATGTCTTTGTATAGGGGTTTGTTGTCTTCGGCAGTGTGAAGGTGGGCGTCATTCCATTTAAACCAAGCTGTAAGTTCGGTTTCGGGCGGCGGGGCTCGTGCAATTTGTCGAGCTTGGCGTCGACGAAAATAGACTCGTTGCCGGTTTTTGGTGTGAACAGGTAGTGGTGATACGGTAGGATATCGGTCACACATAACGAAATCAAACATACACCAGCAAGATTCGGCGGCACCAATTGTTCTCATATATTGGTATGTTTGGATTTCATCTTCAGTGTTGACAACTTCGACAACCATTGCTCTTTCAGAGCCTTTGAGGATGTATTCGAACATGTATCGACATGCTGCAGTTGATGCACAGATCTCGACATTAAAATGTGTGAGGTATCAGAGAAGAAGGTCCGAGTTGTAAGGGACGACCCAAGAGTTGTCAAGTTCAGTGTGACCGCGAAGCACTCTCATTCCTCCGTCATCAGGTGCACGACGACGGTAAATAGGGTATCTTGTTTCCTCATTCCACGTTGTACGTTCGGAGAACTCTTTAGGGAAAAATCGTGTACATCGGTCATTATGCATACAAGATGCCTGCATGTTGTGTATACCACAGGGGTTGTGAATCATGTGGGTAAGAACGAGTTCTTACAAGGCGGGATTTGTTGGATTTGGAATTCGATCACATATGTGTATGTTGTTGTTGCTCCGAATATGTAAGTTGAGTGTATGTCGTGAAGTAATTGTCGCAAGTATCCTTTGAAAACACGTGCGAGGAGGTCGGGCCGGTCTGCCGGTTGTTGATTTGGGAAGAGGGCACTTTCAACTTCAGGTCAGTGTGGATTGCATGTAAAAGTAAGGAAAACGTCAGGTGCTCCGTATTCTTCCACAGTTGCCATAACGTCTTAGTATCGACGGTGGATATCGCGGGGTCCCCCAGTGAATGTTCCCGGTAGGATAATTCGCTGACCAACATTCTCAGCATTGTCATATTGCATAACGTGGTCTCGCAAGTTTTCGTAACACAAATTTCTGTTTGATGCAAACGATTGTACAAAAGTCGACCGTTCTCAATTTTGGCAAATGCCATATAGACGTACTCTTGAAAAAGTCGAGATGCACGGAAGATTGTTGTTCTTTCCGCAGGACGTGCGTTTAGATGGAAAGCATAAAATTCTCGTGCTGTGGTGGATTGGCCAGTTTCTTCATTGTGATCATCAGAATCAGGTGTCCATCCATCCTCGCCTTTAGGAAAGAGCAGAACGTAATGAAGAGGATCAAAAGCACAGTTTGTTTCAGCGATTGGAATGACACCTCCGCCACGTTTGTGGATTGTAATTTCTCGGTTGACAGGTTGGTCGTGCATAAGGAGGCATAATTCTTTGAGCCCTTCAGGTTTATTGTTATCGTCGTTCATGTCGCCTAGCCGGCCGTGCGTTAGGGTTAATGACAACGTGGCGGTCATGCAGAATTTCATCTGGCATTTCATAAATCGTAATGCTATTTTGGACCCAATGATTGCATGATTGAAGGAGTGCGTGGAGTTTTCGGAGGAGGAATTTTATAGTCTGAACTGTTGCTAGGGGTGTGTCAACAGGAAGATCGAGGTGGTTGAGACGGAGAAGTGTTGCGCCGTGTTCGTCTTGCGGGTCGTAGACGTAGATTTGTGCAAATGCAGGTCGATTGTCAGCATCCGAGAGGAGAGGGCCCAAGTTTTGGCGGAGTTGTCCTTCTATACGTAGCATGCCTGGCCAGGCACCCGGAGGATATTGCGTTTCTTTAACACTTTGTGATGCGAGCGCAAGTGCGTTGTTGAATTGTCGCGAGCGGGATCGCAAAAGCCTGCCGTGTGCGCTGTCTGATTCCCATAATCGGAGGATTTCATGCTCGGGTGTTTGAGGTGGAGGGTATTCCCAGATTTGGGGTTTTACTTTTCCTCGACGGCAGCATAGCATTGTCCGTGCATGTTGATGCTGTCATTTGTATGCTCCACAGCGAACACATGGTGTTTTGTCACCAAGTGTCGCTATGCTAACGATGATATGTTGTGCAATTAGTGTTGCGGTGTAAATACGTGCAACATTGATTCGTGGTTGAATGTGGTCGATGTGTGCATGTCTGTAGCGCTGTTGTCGGACTTGATGCCGTTGTCGTGCTCGTTCTTCTGCAGCGCGAGAAGATTCGCCTGTACCAAGATGTCATTGCGCGGGGAAGCCAAGTTCAGGAACACAAAGAACAATAACAATGAGGAAGGGGGGGGAAAAAGTGAATATTCTTTGCTTGGTCGTCACATTGGGGGAAAAGAAAAAAACATGGCCAGGGCAGCACCGGTGCCAGATCTCTATTTCTTGTCGGTATACACATGCATTTAATGTGACATTTTAATGCAAAATGATATATTCATCTCTTCTCTATACATACTAAAGGATGGAGAGGGCCCGGTGACATGCCCTGTTGCGCGCCCAGTGAATTTCTCGGGAGGCGGGCGACACTGGGAGGAGGCCGGAATCGGGCAGTGGGACCGCAAATTTTGAGGCGGGGTCCAGGCCTCGGCGGAGGAGAGGCCCACGAATTTGCTGCCAGGCGGCACATGGAGGAGGCCGGAACCGGGCAGCGGGACCGCAAATGTAGAGGCGGGGTCCAGGCCTCAGCGGGGTCCAGGCCTCAACGGAGGAGAGGCCCATGAAATTGGCAGCGCGCAGGCGGCCGATAGCGGATGGCGAAGGTCCAGGGTAGGCCGGCGCGACGGAATTGGCCGCGGCTGGTGTGAAGGGGGACGCAAGGAATGGCTGGGCGGCGCGGGCTCAAAAACGGAAGTGGGCGGGGCGGCATGAGCCCGGCGCGCCCTCGCGTCGGCAGGAGGTAGGGGGAGGCAGGAGGTAGCGTGAAGGAGGGGAGGGTGGGGGAGTACGACGACCGAATCGTGCGCAGTGGGAACGACGGGGGAGAGAGAGATAGAGAGAGAGGGAGAGAGAGAGAGAGAGAGGAGAGAGAACTTGGATCGATGAGAGAGAGAGAGAGAGAGAGAGAGAGAGAGAGAGAGAGAGAGAGAGAGAGAGAGAGTACTTGGATCGATTCGTTGGCCATATTCAACCAGGTACTGTATATTTCCATGTTCTAGCCGAAGATTCGACCAGGTAGTGTATGTTTCCATGCTCTAGCCGAAGAATCATTGGATGTTGCTCATCCTATCGATGGAAGTAGCATGGCGCGAGCCGCGGTTGGACAGTTATCGTCTCTCTCTCTCTCTCTCTCTCTCTCTCTCTCTCTCTCTCTCTCTCTCTCTCTCTCTCTCTCTCTCTCTCTC